TGCAAATTCTCACACATAGCTTCAATTCCAGCACAAGTCGGGAGTCTCACACACAACATCTCTCATTCTAACACAACTTTGACCGATTCTCACACAACTTGGTAATTTCTCTCACGCAGAAAGTCAAGATTCTCTCACATCAGGTTGAAAAAAAAGCACTCTGGGTCCTTTCCAAGGCATCCACAACTTGAGATAATTTGGGACGGTGTTATGCACCTGGCTCCATTGAATGCTTTGCAAAGCCTCTCGTGATCAAATCAGTGGCAGTGCTAACTGATGGCGCATCAGGCGGGCGGTCGGGATGAGGGCGGGAGTGCCGTAAATGTTTATTTCAACCAAATCAACGAGATTTTCAGGGGAAGCTAATTACTAGTAGGCCATTGGCTAATGTGGTCAATATTTTGCAAGAGTGGCAAAGTAATTGAGGACAATCTGCATTTGAAATTCACGGACGATCGTGGCGCGCGAGTGTACGCACCGAACTCGTCCACACCGCCCCATCGTGTCGTGTGGCCATGGCACACATAATTTGCACCCATTTTTGTCCCCACGTCACGACCAAGTGGTCCACACGAACTCGCGCGCTCCAGTTCTGCAAAGAAGTATTTTTAGTGCCAGGTGGGAATAAGTACTTACAAAAAATGCCATCTCACCATTGTATGACGAGTCGAACCAGGGATGTCTGCTCAGCACTCACTACCTCCACTGTTGAAAGCAGATACACACATGCTACGGGTCTTGTCCCCTCTGTCAATGTGTACTCTGCTAACTCGAGGCGCTGAGAGAGGCACTCGGGTGGGATAGGGCGGGCACGGCCGTCGATTCGACGGGTTAGTGGCTGGTATGGGCCGGCGCCCAACAGCCTGAGTGTTTTCGAAAATTCTGGATGGCACGAAAGGTGACGGATGTCTCGAACTCAAATTCAGTGTCATATTATGTTCCGGCTCGGTGATTCGATGTTGAAGAACTACACCAGTCAATATAGCCGATATGTCCAATCCAAGAAGCGCCGCATACACCCTAAATAGACCAAAAGCTTGGTTTGAGGTCTCTTATATGTTTTTCTAATCACTGAAAGCTATTAACAAAATGAACGGCGGCATGAATAATAAGTTGAATACTCAACTCGGCCATCACGCTTCGGGTTTGCCGAGACATTCGGATGTGGAAACAGGGCGGAACAAGTACTTGACGAGTGATGAAGGCTTTTAATCCGTGAGGGCCGCCTTGAGTCAATTTTTCCGATCAGAAATGTGCTTATTAGTGGGGAAAAACACAGCCCGCTCGACGGAACGGGTGCGGCACTTGTAGAACCGCTGCGACAAACAGCCCTAAAATTTTTCGGGACCAAGGAAAGTAAAAGGGAAAAAATAATGCGGGATTTACCCATGACCCAGCGTGGAGTCGAACCAGGGATGTTTGCACAAAGTTGAGATGTATACACACTGATTGAGAGCAGATGTACACCATGTGCACTGGGTCTTGGCTGGAAGAGTTCAGGGGCGGGTTAAGTATGATGCCAGGAGATACACACTGATTAAAAAAGGCACTGGAGAGATTCAGGACAATTGAAGAAAGACTGAATGTCCGACTGCCGCGGAGTCAGGCATACGTCTCGGCAAGAGATGCCGAGTCCCGCCGATGATGCGAGATGTGTGCCGTGCATAGCGTGCCGCGCCTGAGAACGATGTGCCGCAGATGAATGCCTTGTGCCGTACTTCCGGTGTGCTGTGTCACTGTGCGCCGCATTTGTTCAATCCCGGGCCGGCGGGAGGCAGGCCCGTGCCGTTGCCGTGCCGTCGAGCAGTGTGAAAATTTCTCGATGGAATGGCATGGTGCCGTTTTGTAGAAGGGCAGCGAGGAGCTCTAGAACTTTAGAACTTGGGGGGACAAAAGGAAAGTAAAAGCATAAAAAAATGGTGCAGCAAATTAACAACATGACCCAGCCTGGAGTTGAACCAGGGATCTCTGCATAACCAAGACATACCATGAGGGCAGATGCACACCATGTGCCACTGGGTCTTGCTCATAAGGGTTCAGGGGAGTGCTATGAGAGATACACAGCCTGAAACCAAAGACAAGGACGATTGAAATAAGACCGAGCGCACCGGACTTCTGCGGAGTCAAGCAGATTCATAGTCTTCCAAAACCACGTTTATGGATCTGGAGTTCTGTTAACTCGGGGCATGGAGAGGAACTCGGTTAGGGGAAAAAGTATACAAAGGCAAGTAAAAGGGAAAAAAAATGCTGTCCAATATGACGACCCAGCCTGGAGTCGAACCAGGGACATCTGCACAAAAGTTCGTAGAGCAGTTCCATTGAGGGCAGATGCACACCATGTGTCTTGTGTGGACGAGTTCAGGGGAGGGTTATGAGACGTAGTTTGAAACCAAAAATTGAGGACAATTGAAAAAAAGATGGAGCACATCCGACTGCCGCGGAGTCAGTCCCGGCCAGAGTCTTCCAAAACCACGTTTGCAGATTTGAAGTGCTCCCTCTGAGTACTCTGTTAACCCGTGGCACAGTGAACACCTCTAGAACTTGGGGGGAAAAGGAAAGTAGTAAAAGGGAAAAAAGATAATTCATCAAGAATGACCCAGCCTGGAGTCGAACTAGGGATGTCTGCACACTTCGAACAGGCTTTTTAATTGAGGGCAGATGCACACCATGTGCTACTAGGTCTTGCTTGGAGCAGTTCAGGGGAGGATTAAGTATGAGAAAGATACATAGCCTGAAAAAGGTAGAGGTTCAGGACAATTGAAAAAAGACGAGTATGTCCGACTACCGCGGAGTCAGGCAGATTCAGACTCGGAGTATTCCAAAATCACGTTTGTTTTGTGGGTGCTCCAGTTTCTGACAGTGACATGGGGAGCCATTGAGCCTTTCTCTCGAGTTTTCGAAACCTCTGAAAGCTACATAATGAATGAGCGTCGGGCTGCGTCGGGTGTCTGAACCACAGTGATACGAGGATCAAATTCGGCCATCACACTCCGGTATTTGCCGAGAACAGCTCACCTGCTAATCAATTCTCCCATGCGAAGGAGGCTGGTAGAACAGGGAGGAGAGAAAGTTTCCATGCTGTGATGCGTGGGGAGATATTTCGTGGGCAGAGTTGTACGTGTGCTTCGTGGACCCTGGTGTTGGAAAAATTCAACACGTTTGGCGGCCATGATGGCCGTCGGGAGGTAAACCCGTGCCGTCGAGCAATGTGGCAATTTCTCGACAGAACGGGTGCGGCACCCATCGCACCATCGCATGGAGAACAGCTCTAGTTAGAGGGGAAAGTACTATACAGTAAAAGGCAAAAAATCAGTTTTCCAATCACCTATGACCCAGCCTGGAGTCGAACCAGAAATGTCTGCACAAAGTCCCACGGTACACATTCATTGAGGGCAGATGCACACCAAGTGCCGCTGGGTCTTGCTTGTAAGGGTTCAGGGGAGTGTTATGAGAGATACACAGCCTGAAACCAAAGACGAGCTAAGGACAATTGAAATAGTAAGAACAAGCGTGTCCGATTGCTGCAGACACATAGTCAGGCAGAGTCTTGCAAAGCATGTTTCAAAGTGGATCCGGAGTGCACCCACTGAGTACCCTATTAACACGAGGGGAGACAGGAACTCTCAGAGGAAAAAGTGCTATCCAGTAAAAGGGAAAAACTAGAAACATGAGATTCAATGACCTAGCCTGGAGTTGAACCAGGGATGTCTGCACAATTGACAAGTAAGTTGTGATTGAGGGCAGATGTACACCATGTGCCACTGGGTCTTGCTTGAAAGCTTCCAGGGAGGGTTAAGTATGAGACTGGGAGATAGCACATAGCTGGAAACCAAAAAGTGAGGGCAATTGAAAAATGAACATGTGTCCGAATGCCGCGGAGTCGGGCAGATTCAATATCTTCAAAAACCATGTCTGATCACTCTTTTAACTCGAGGCATGGCGAACACCTCTAGAACTTGGGGGAAAAAAGAAATTACAAGGCAAAAAAACGATAATTCATCAAGAAGAATGACCCAGCCTGGAGATGTCTGCACAAATCACCAGGATTACATTAACCGAGGGCAGATGCACACCACGTGCTACTGGGTCTTGCTTGGAAAGGGTTCTGGGAGGGTTATGAGAGGAGATATTGATCCACAGCTTGAGAACTATATTGATACACAGCTTAATACTAAAAGCTGAGGACAACGAAAAAGAACAAGCATGTCTAACTGCCATGGAGGCAGAGTCTTCCACAACCACGTTTGTGGAGTGCTGCCTTTTCTTCCAGTGACATGAGGGCACCATTGGGCCTTTTTCTCGACTTTTTTAAACCTGAAAGCTACATACTTAATGAATGAGCGTCGGGTGTCTGAGCCACAAGAGGATCAAATTCGGCCATCACACTCCCGTATTTGCCGAGAACGGCTCACCTGCCAAGTAATTCTTGCATGCGAAGGAGGCTGGTAGAACAGGGAGGAGAGAAAGTTTCCATGCTGTGATGCATGGGGAGATATTTCGTGGGCAGAATTGTACATGTGCTTCCCGAATCCCGGTACCGGAAGAATTTGACGCGTTCGGCAGCTGTGACGGGCCACGGCATACCCGTGCCGTTGCCGTGCCATCGAACAATGTGTAAATTTTTCGACGGTGCCATCCTGTGGAATGGAAGGGCAGCGAAGAGCTCTAGAACTTGGGGGAAAAAGGAAAGTAAAAGGGAAAAAAAGACAGTTCACCAAGAAGAATGACCCAGCCTGGAATCAAACCAGGGATGTCTGCACAAATGCTTGGAAAGCTTCATTGAGGGCAGATGCACACCATGTGCCACTGGATCATGCTTGCAAAGTTCAGGGGAGGGATATGAGAGGAGATAGCACATAGCTGGGAACCAGGACAGTTGAAAAAAAGATGGAGTATGTCCGACTATCGCGGAGTCAGTGTTCCAAAACCGTTTTTGGATCCGGAGTGCTCTGTCGGACGAGTAGGGGGAGAGAGGAAAAAAAGATTTTGCACAACAAGAATGACCTAGCCTGGAATCGAACCAGGGATGTCTACGGAATTGTCCTGTGAGCGGGGTATTGAGGGCAGATGCACACCTTGTGCCACTAGGCCTTGCTCAGAAGAGTTCAGGGGAGAGCTATGAGGGGAGATAAGTTAGCAGATACACAGCTTGAAACTAAAAATCGAGGACTTGAAGAAAGACTGAGCATGTCCGACTGCCGCGGATTCGGAGTCAGGCAGAGTCTTCCGAAACCATGTTTGAGTCCTCTGTTAGCTCGAGGCACGGCGAACACCTCTAGAACTTGGGGGTAAAAGGAAAGTAGAAGGAAACAAAAAAACTAACTGTGGTAGCCCAACATGACCCAGCCGGGAGTCGAACCAGGAATGTCTGCACAACTTATAAGAAACCGTCCAGACTGAGGGCAGATGCACACCATGTGCCACTGGGTTTTGTTTGAAAGGTTCGGCGGAGAGCTAAGTATGAGATGGATAGACCAGAAGATAACTTAGTGCAGGTGCAGTGCCAGAGCTCGGCAGAGAGGTTCAGGACAATTGAAGAAAGACCAATGGCACCCGACTTCCGCGAAGTCAGGCAGGAGTGCAGGGTGCATTCCTCTTTTGATGATGTGATGTAAACCTGCCAATTAACGAGGAAGCTGCCAGCGGGTTGACGCGGAAGAGCATCCGTTGTGTGTGTCTGTTTGTCATGGGCATTTGCGCCGGAAATTAGAACTCCGATAGCCTCCGCTCGTACCCAGATGCTTTTTTGCCTCCCTGTCACCACGTCACACGGGCGCACATCTTTTTCCAGTTTACTGTCTTCTCCCATCTCATCTAAGCTAACATGTACACCTATTATCCCGTCTTGCTGGTTGCAAGGAATATGTCCACAGCAACTACAAGAAATGTCATTGCGCTGCCTGAGACTTCAAGTTGGCAACAGCGCTAGCTGAAAAAAAAAATGTTGCACTTGAAAGTTTATTAACCTAGTTGCTTAGCCTCTCTCAGGGAAATTTGTCGACTTGTCTTGACTTGATCCATACTAAGAGGAGGAATTAGGAGGACGCGACGAGGGCTGCCAAAGTCCCACGTCCGAGTCGGTTCACCCCTAGGGGTGAATTCCCGACGCGACGCGACAGGCCAGGTGACGAGCACGCGCCGGAAGGTATAGCCAAATGTGGACAAACATTCTTCCTCTTGATCCCGCGTCGCGTCTGCAATCCGGTATGGCGGTCAGAATGCACTTTTATTATTTCACACACACACACATGTAAATTCTCACACATATATGTAAATTCTAACACAAGTTCAGGATTCTCACACACAACATGTCTCATTCTAACACAACGTAGACTGATTCTCACACAACTAAGGGATTTCTCTAACACACAAAGTTAAGAATCTCTCACATCAGGTTAAAAAAAGCTTCTGGATCCTTTCCAAGGCATACATACAACTTGAGATGACTTGGGATGGTGTCAATTATGGATGCAGCTGTATTGAATGCCTTGCAAAAGCCCTTCGCGATCCGATCAGTGGCAGTGCCCACTGATGGCGCATCAAGCGGGGAGTCGGGATAAGGGCGGGAGTATTAGTACTGTGGACCATTTATTTCAATCACATCAATGGAATTTTAGAGAGAAAATTCACAGAGAGGTCGAGAGTGCACATTTCGGAATATCCCAACGGCGATGGAGAGCACCACCGGCATCGTCTCGGAGAGATCGGCAGGGACTGATCCGCAGACCGCCGAACCTCAAGCCGTAGGAGAATGAACCCAAATGGAACCGCCAGACGATGGCATCGCCCATGGCCTTCGGCTAACCCAAAAAGAAAAGTGGTTTGTAGTCATCGAAAGCTGAATTCGGTGTCCAAGCCAAGGTTGGTGACAGTCGGAGAGAGGGAGTGCCTTGAGACAAACAGGTTTCAATTCCACGATGGGCCTGCAGAGCCGAGCCCGGGAGCGGAGTACAACAAGCGAGGTACGAGCCGTCAACTGTTGAGGCATCTGTTTATAAGAGACTAGGAGCGGAGTACTTGGTCGTGAACACTCTTTTAATTTTCGGCATCCCAAAGGAGGTTGGCACAGCCACCGGTTTCTCGGAACCGTAGCTCCGAACTCACTGAAATTTTGGTTGCAGAGTTCTCAGAAGGAAGTCAAGAGGCGGAAGAAGGTAGGGGAGGGCAGAAAAGCATTGCAGGACCCCTGAAGAGACATTAGGCAGAATTTTACATTTGTGTGTGAGAGAAGTTTACATGTGTGTGTGAGAAATAATAAAAGTGCACTCTGACCGCCATAATCCGGTACCGGCCTTGGACGCATCTCACCAACGATGCTGCTGAAGATATACATCAACCAAACCAGCCTGCAGATCTCCCTGAACGCAATGATCCGTGGCATCTGATGAGGGCATTTCAAGCACAGACAGGAAAGGAGGTCAATTTACTTCAGTATCCAAGAAGACCTCCAAGAAAAAAATCAGCCAAGACAGACAGACATCAGATGCCCTATAGCTCATTTCCTGAGCTTTTTTGTAAATTGCAGTGGTCGTTTTCAACACAAGAAGTGCGGTGAGGTGCGCCACAGAAAGTAATAGAAAAGTCCGCGGTCACAGAGGTCTAAACTTCCCAGACTCTGAACTAAGGTCTAAACGGGCGACGGCCGGCTCAGCGGTTGGCCACGTGAAGCCTTGCGACAGATTTGACTTGGACGGACCAGGAAAGTTCATTTCCGAGGGCTTCCCTTCTTTTACCTCACATCATCAAAAGAGGAATGCACCCCATCCTCGTCAGGCAGAAGTCTTCCGGATCCAAAACCACGTTTGTGGCGTGCGTTTCTGACACGGGGGCGTCGTACGACGTATGAGTCGAAATTGCTGGTGGATGTTGGGTGGATGCGCGTAACAGGATGTAAATTTATGTAAGCAACTCGGATGTGGACTGATGTGGACTCTGTGGTGCCCGAACGGCGAATGGCTGTGATCAGCGCTCGCAATGACTCTAGTCTATCTCCTCCTCCTCGACTGTGTCTTTGAGGCAGCCACGTTCGTCGCGGATTCCGGGCCTGTCGTGCGATCAGAGCTGTCGCCCGATTCTTCTCCTGCTCCTCCTGTTACCGAATTCGGACCTGCATGCCCGCGAACGTGCTTTACTTGGTTCTCATTTAATCCTCTTCCGGGCGTGAAGGACTGCGAGGATCCCGTCTTCCCGTTCCCCCAGGACGATCTCGATGGCCTGGACGCTGCCCTGGACGATGTACACGACCCCCTGGACGACACGCGCCGCCACCGCCGTCGCCGCCGACCCCTCGCTCCTCGTCCTCCTGCCAGCCTTCCTCGGCCTCTGCCTCGCCTACCCCCTCCTCGCGCGCTTCTTCCCCGCGCCCCGCCAGCGCGCGTGGATCCTCACCACCCTCGCCGCCCTCACCATGACCCTCGCCTCCGTCCCCTTCGTCCTCGACTACGCGAAGGGCGGCGTGCATGCCCTCCAGCCGCGCCCCGCCCTCGCGCGCAGCGTCAACCGCTTCTTCCAGGCGTACCTCGCCGCGTGCGTCCCTCTCCCCTTTCTCCCGTATTGATGCTAATGCGACGCACAGCGACCTCCTCATCGGCGCGCTCTTCTACCGCGCCCAGGTCGGCGTGCTCACAGGCTGGGTCCACCACGCCGTCTACATCGCCGTCTGCGAGGTCGCCCTTAGAGCGGACTGGGCGCACCACTTTTGCTTCGCCGCGTGTATGGAGGTGTGTTGCTGCTCCTGCTTCTTTATGTACTCCTGCTTCCTTCTTTCTCTACTCCGGCGTGTTTCTTTACTCTCGGCTGCTTCTTTGTTATGTACGTTCGAGTGGATGGGAACGAGGGCGCCGTGAGGCGACTGGGTGCTGGGCCAAACGGGGGCTGTCATTGGGAGGCGCCCGAGTGGCGCCATCACACGGAGGCGCGTATTCCCGGAAGGGATGCGTCTGCGCCGCAGGCGACATTGCGCGGCGTCGTTAGGCGCCCGCCGGAGTAGCGCCGCACGCCATTCATGGCGCGCACTCCCAGAAGGGACGCGTCTGTCCCGTGTCTGCGCCACAGGCGATTGGCGCTACCGCAGGCTTTCCATGATGCGGGCGCCTTTGCGCGCGATTTGCCTACGTAGGCGCCGCAGGCCATGAATTCATGGCGCGCATTCCCTGTCTGCGCCGCAGGCTTTTCACGATGCGCGCGCTTTGCCTGCTTGGCCGCCGTTAGGCGCCCTCCCCTCCCCCTCCTTCACCCCCCTCCATCTATAATCTACAATCAATACTAACAATCAACACCCCCCCTCTCTCACCCAGCTCCCAACCGCTCTCCTCGGCCTCTCCACCCTCCTACCCCGCCTGCGCTCCAACCTCCTCTTCGCCTTGTCGTTCTTCGCGACGCGCATCGCGCTGCACTTGGTGTTGATATGGAGTTATTTTGTCGGGCGGGCGGCGTTGGGTGGGATGGGGAAGGGAGGGGGGAGTTTGGTGCCGAGTGGTGAGTTTGTGCTTTTTTTTTGAGGGGAGGGGGGAGAGAAAGAAATGCTTTACTCGCTTCGCGTCGCGTCGTGTCGCGGCCCTCCGTCCCACTTTCATCGTTCTTCTCGTCCTCCTTCACCCCCCTTCCCTTCCCTTCCACCCCGCCCCTCCTCCCGTCGTTATCTTCCCCTCCGTCCCGATTCCCGCTCGCTCTTCGCGTCGCGTCCGTGCTCCCTCTTCCCCTCTTCCCCATCCTCCTCCCATTCTTTCTTCTGGCCCTTCCGTACCTTTATTTCCGGCGCTTTCTCCCGCACACGCGTCCCTCCCGCTCATTCTTTCCCCTCATCCCTCCTCCCACTCTCTTACTCCCCGCCTCCCGCCTTTCTACCCTTCCCCTTCCGGTTCCGCCCTTCCGGTTCCGTTTCCGCCCCCGCCCTCATCTCGTCCGACTGCTCCGCCCGACTGCGCCTCCCGCTCTCCTCCTCGTGCTTCCTCCCCTTCCTTGTACCCGTCATTATCTTTCTTCCCGCCCACGCGTCCCTCCCCCCTCCCGCCCCGCGTCGCGCCGTGTCGCGGCCCTCGTCTTTCGACGCCCCGCCTCCCGCCTTCCCCCCTTCCCCTTCCGTTTCCGCC